TTTGGGGTTCTTTGTACCTGCAAACATCTAGACATCAATCAGGCATGCTTATTTACATTCCTGCCTCAGAGTCTGTCCTCCAAGAAAGCGTAACTCCATCATTATTTTGGTATGTAGTTTCTGCTGTTTCCCCTTTAAGCATAAAGGCCTTGCTAATACAGTAAGTAAAACACCTGCCCTCAATTTCAAAGAACAATAATTAAAAGTACCATATCCCGGGGACGTAATGAAAAGTTCTAGGACAATTTAAGTGAAGCCAAGTATTCATTAAGACCTTTGAAATAAACTTATCAAGATGTGCCATCAGCTTTACAAGTGGTCACGTTACACAGATTTGACCAGCAGGAACAAATTAACCTCTGAGTCCTGTATAAGGTACCCTTTGGATTCAAAATTCCCAGAAAAGAGACTGCTTGAGGAAAGCATTGAATGCTAATATTTGCTTTAACTAAATAAAAGTCCAACCCCCAAACCCATGAAGAAACAACACAAATGAAATTTATGATAGTCCCCCAGCTGCTGACAGCTTTGCTTTATTCAGTGCTTACTTGTATCAGTGAGACTTTTATTTTTGAAGGGCAGGAGTAAAGGATTAAGGTTTTGTGCCTTTCATTTAATATCCAGGGTGTCCTTATAAACAGTCAGTCTTCAAAGAGGGAGAAAAAAAAAAAGGACCAGCCTTTAACAATACCTCAGGTAAACCCACCAAAACAAGGTCAATGGTCTGGGGCATTTCTAAATGTATATAGAAGAACACTGCACTTCAGAGACACAGGGCTGCAGGGAGTATTCACACAGATAAACAAAAGACTGGTAAGACAGCTAATGGCAGCCAAACTATATATATAGGCATTCATTTTTTTTCCTCTTGCTTTTCCTTTTCGTTTAGAATCCTTCTTTTTGTTCTGCAGGACAGTGGGATGCTTGTGCCCTTTCTCGCAGTCCCATTGGCATATTCTGGGGAGCTGATATTTATCTGGGACTGTGATTATACGGTGCTTCATTATCTCTTTGGTGTTTCAAAAATGCATTAAGATAAGTCAGCATATTGGGGAAAAGACTGTTTTGTGACAGATAAACCATGCTGTTTCACAGGGGTGCATGGATTTGACCATATTGTTCACAAATGAACAGTACAAGTGAATTTATGACTTCAGAGAAAACATGAACACTAAGCTAAAGATGTCTGCAACTGGCATCAGTACAGAGGGAACATGATTTACACTGGAATTTCTCCAGAACTGAAATTATCTCTATACTTTCCATTGTCTTTATCGTAATTGCCATCAGAATTTGTCAATATGCTTTGGGATCACAGATGCTACCATAATAATAAAACAATTAGATAAATAAAAAGATCCCTGAGCTCCCAGTCAGCATTGTGCGGAGGATTTTCACTATGGAAATATTGAGGTGACGTTGACTCACTATGGCAGCTTCCTTTACAGCGAATAATGAAGACATGAGCTGCAGGAAATAACACGAGTCCCTGAACCACCTAGGCTTCACAGCCAGAACCTCTCAGTTTCTGGTGGAATTAGGAGCTAGTTCTGTTTATTGAAGCGTGATCTATCCTGTCCTTGAATTATTGCTCAGAGAAGGTATCCCACAAGACCAGATAACCACCAGTGTCTTAAAGTGATGCTGCTGTCTGGCTTCTCCAAGGCACTGATTGTTCCCTTGCTTGAGCAGAAGACTGGAATCATTACCCATGTGCAATGCTGGGCACATTGACCCACTGCCTTTGGATGTAAATATTTACAATGCACACACACACACACACACACACACACAAATGTATACAATCGGACCCAGTATGTGTAAAAGACATTGCAAAATAATTGTCCATAAGGATTTGAACTAGGCTGGGATCTTGTACATGGCATTCTCCATCAGGAGCTGCCACAGGTCAGGTAGGCATGGGGATACGTTTTTGTCTCAGGCTCCAGTGCTTGACTGTTGTGAACTGGTCAAGTCCCAAGGACATCAGAGTGAGAAAAGAGAACTAATTAAAAGGAAAGTGGGAGCTCAGGATTTGGGTGTTTACATATTGTTGAGATGCCGAGCGACCGCCACAAGAGTTTGCCCTTGCTTTAGCAGCAGTGGTGGTTGCAAATACCAAAGTGGCTGCAATTACTCATCTCACAGAGAGCTGGCCCAAGTAGAGTCTGTACTGGCAGCTCAAAGGCCTCCTTTAGAATGATCTCCTTCTAAAACAGGTTTTATCAATGCTGTTTCCCAAGAATCCAGGTTTTTTGAAAAGGTTCTGCTGAGCTCTTCATAAAGAAAGTCACACAGGTGAAAACACTCCACATTGAGGACGAAGGCTCCCAAATTCAAATGAGGGCTTAGCAAAACCAAATGCCACTGTCAGCATGTCTCTAGTATATGAGAGCTCTTCTCTTTTTTTGCTTACAATGCAGTCTCTAAGTTCAAAGTACAAGAGGCATTGCTCCCTGCAAATGGTTTGTGATAAGGGCATAAATCTATTTAGCTTAAATGACACTGCATTTCTAAACCGCTTAGTGGCAGAAGCCATTTTTGTGGGAAAACCAAATTTTTAGGGACACTTCATTGTTACAGGGTTTCCTGGAAATATGCTCCAAATTCATGCTCTGGGTCACAGTCAGGGTGCTCTTGTTATCTCAGACCACCTGCCCATGAAGGGGGCTACTGTCATAAAAAGCACCAAAGTCCAGCCCTCCTTCCTCCAAGGTGATTGTATAGTGTTCCTGATTTCTTCTGTTCCCTGACAATTAAACAGATGTGTACGCCTAGACGGAGCCCAGTGCCTTTCCTCACAAATGATGTAGGTGTTTTATATAGATAGAGGTAGGCTGAGAGAGGGAGGTGAGGGAGCACCCTGCCAAGGGCTTCTGATGTCTTTCACATCAGGAAGGTTTCCTGCTGCTGAGGTTGGTGCCGTTCCCTTGGGTGGTTGTGGGCATCCTCAGTGTGGTTGTGAGGGAGATCCTAGGGACACTTCCATGGCATATGCTATGGGCATTTGGCACTGCTCAGGTGTCTTGTCAGAGGACCCGTAACCAATCTCTAGCTACCATGCCAAAAGTGCGTCTGAAGCACCCCAGAGTCGATAGACATGTAAAGAGAAGTTAATGTGCTATCAGCTTGAGCTGTGAGGATTATAGACTGCTTACAGGGATGATGCAGTCTACCCGTCCTGCAGGTACTGCTGCTGATTTCATCAAGGAAGGGTGACACCAGCCACAGCCAGGGGCAAGAGAAAAAGATCCACTAGCATTTTCCCCTAATGTTAAGTGGAAGAAGAAGGTTGAAGCTTAAGATGCTGTAAAGACCAGCATTAAAACTGGGCCTCCAGCTCTCTGCTAAGAATGAACAGTGCATGAACAGGATCCGAAACATCATCGTTTGTGCACTGTGGGGAAAATGCCAATCCAGTTCTTTAGGATCATCCCTCCTTCATCAGCCAGTTTCTATCAAAGGCTCGATAACTGCGGGAACCAGTAGCCTAGAAAATGGCAGATCATTAAACCTCTGCTTGGTTTCAAAACCCCACCGCCTCCAGGATTTTGTTTAAAATGCCTTTGAAATGTAAGTTGTCACTGAAAGGGTCTGTTCATCTTGGCTCAGTTTTGTGCAGATAATTACATGCTTCCTCCCCTGCTTTACTGATGAGGCTGATACAGACCATGGTGCTGGTCAATGAGGCTAAGTGCCAAGTTGGGGCAGCCGCCTCCCACCTCTGGTGTGATACTTGTAACTGGGGACTCCCTCACACATGAAATATGGTATTTTTATACTCAGAGGCAACTCTGAGTGTCAGATACATACAGCCCTGGCTCTTCTGTGAGGAGGCAACAGGATTTTACCCTGCTACCATCAGCTGTGTGCAGCTTACAGGGCAGAGGGAGGCTAAAATACCCAGTTATCTTACAAGGCTTCTCTCTGCATCAAGATTGATGTCTGCCTTGTGCAGGAGGAGGAGATGACAGCAGCTTGTCACAAGACTGATGTATACCTTAGCACCAGCAGCAGAAACAAAGCTTTTCTTTTAAATGTATTTCACAGAAAGAGTTGTTTCCACTGCCAGCTTGCAGAGTATGGAGCAGGGATGATGTGTGGATCTCCAGGAAGCCAGATGAGTAACCCCGCATCTGTGGTAACATGAGCCCATTAGTAGTTTTCAACTGACTTAAATGAAACTCCTTTTTTTTTTTTCTGGAGTAAATAATAACAAATTGTGCAGGAAACACCTTTCTGCTGCTACTGAAAACCTGTTTTCTGGAGTGTAGTATAAACATCTGTGTTTACCTTTCCTCAAATTCAAAGAACTTAAAGCAATTTTTGTCACATGCTACTAATAAATTGGTGCCTGAATGTTAGGAACTTGTCTTGTTCAGGTACCATGTATCCTCCTTAGCCTAAAGTCTCTGTGCAATATATTGGAAAAGGCTATTTGTACTGCCTAGTGCTTTGGCTGAAAGATAGACTGCTTTTCGTCGACACATCCTGCTAGATCTATGCACATGAAGTTTGCCTGTGTGTGTGCTGATGACCTCTCCATCACCCGTACAGTGGGTCCAAGGTGTACAGAACACATTGAGCTGATTAGGCACATTCAGCAGCCAGTCTCCCTACATTGTGCAATGCACATTTACCAGCAAACGGGCGTTGCACAACCCTGGGAGTAAGGCTGCCCAGCATGGTAACTCAGTAGATTGCCACCCCAAGCAGGAGGGCAATAAACACCCAAAGCAGTCCCTATCACTAACATTGGTAGGGCTGGCAAGCCTGAGGTAGATCTTTAGCTCAAAAGGTGGTTCTCCAAGTTTTTGATGGCAAGAGTGAGGAGTTACCATCCCTGTGACTCATCCAGGAGCTATGACCATCTACTGTGACTCAGCCAGTGGAAACATTCTGTGACATCTCTTGCTAGGTATTGCCATGTACATAATTGTAAAATAACAAGTGTGTTTTTTGGGTACTCTAAGAGAAAGTTTGGATATAGAGGTGCTCACCATGAAGTGGATGGTCCACTGGGAAATCACACAGCTGCTCTTCCTCTTCTTCATGTTTTCTTTTGCCTTCCAGGTGTTCACGTCCTATGTCCTCACCCAGGAGGGACACTGGGCTGTCTCTGGGTCTTCTGCAGTGAGTTGCCTGCACTCTCTTTGCTCTGGCAATGGGTGTAGCACATGAGGTAGAGAGAAGCATTTTGGCTGAAGGTAAGTCACATTCTAACCGACTCCTGCTGCTGGAATCTGTGAAGGACACAGCACAAGACAGCTTTGAGTAAAGCAACCACCGTTCAGTGCAGCTTCTAGTTTGTGTGAAGAAAGTGGCCTAGATACTGTACCATTCTAACCAGATCATATTTAAAATGGCCTTAATCCTTCTGTGCATCAATGCCAAGATTCTCCCATGTTGCAGGGACAGGATCCTGGTGAATTTGACCACTAAATCTAGCCTGTTCTCTGCTTCCTTCCACCTTGAAACTTTCAATGTTCCTCGTGGGAGATTTTTAAAAAAGGACTGTAGAAATAAGGAGACGTGACCAAAGGATCAAGAAACTTCAGCTTCTCTGTCAGCATCCAAATTAGTGGTTGCCTGTTCTGAAGAACTCAGAAATACAGTAGATATGGAGCTGCTCTGAAAATCTGATGGCAAGATTGCTGTGGAATTTGCTGGATGCCAAATGCTTTTAAAAATATGGTCCTTCCTTAAATCTCCCTGTAAGTGCATCTACCCTATAGGAAAATGGGCCAATGAATAGGATAAAGGTCAGTGTCTTCCCCGAATCAGGTCCATCTGTTTGATCTTCATCCAGCTGCCTGCTGCTCTGATTTAGGCATTGGACAATTCTAAAGGCAGCCTTTGCCCAGGCTCTCAACATTTCCATCTACCTTTGTGACAGGTGACACTGGTGATATTTGGAAGGTACTGACAGCCAACTCATCTTCATGAAAGCACCTGCACAGTCTTGTTGACAGGACAAACAAGAGAAGTACATATTGGCCCATTTTCATGAAGTGCAGCTGTAATGTTAACTTAGATTTGAGCATGGATGTTATAAACAATCTCTAAGGTAACCTCAGCAGTAACCAGTGATGACATGTGCTAGGACACCTGACCCTGAGTGGTTAGGAAATTGGTCACAGAAGCCACAATCTTTCTTCAGCCACAGTGTAGCCATACTACTAACAGCATTATCTCAGTGTGTAGCAGGGGCACCTCAAAGATCTTCCAGATTAGTTTTCTGCCCTCATGAATGTGGTATGAGTTCTTACTCTTCCTTGTAAATGGACCTTGCGAAGCCATGCACTGAAATATAACATGCTGGGAGGCTTTGTGGTTCAAAGTAGTGGCTGTCTGTGGCTGTTGGCATCCCAAGAGAGGTATATCAAATACTCCCACTCTCCACCCTCTTTCTTTTCTATATTAAAGCCTTACCATAAACCCCAATGCTGAATGCTTTATGTGCTGCCTGTGGTAGTTGCAACCAAAGCTTAGGCTTGACTCTTCAAAGACAAGACAACTGTGTCTATGTTGCTTTAATGGTAAATCTAGAATTTGCTCTAGTTTTCCTCCATGCCTGGATTTCTTTGCTTGGAAAGGCAGACTAAGAGGTAACACATAAACATAACATACCCATTGGGGAATTTTAGTTCCATGGTTTGTGAGACCCTGAAGCAATTGTGACAGTACAGGTTTGTCTTCTATTACTGCCAAAGAACATTAAAATCTTGATGCTATAAAGGACTGCACTCCTGAGCAGTCACACACGCCTACATTCTGGGGTTTGTGGCACTTGTGGCTGGTCCCCTCTCCCCTCTCATATCTAAATGGCAGCAGATGTGAACCATTACAGATAGTACTGGAAGAAACTTCACTTTTTAATATACATTTTACAGATATATTTTATATATTTAAGTTGTCATATCTGGCGTTGGCAAAGCATCTAACTTTTTAGACTTGTCGGAAGTTAATTTTCTGAGTAAATAACAAGTTCTGTTTGTAACCAGCTTAGGAGCAATGATAAATATAACATCTGGAAACAAAGCACCCAATTCCAATTCTGCCCTCAGTAAAAGCCCACACAATAGGAATTTTATAAAGGATTGACGCTGACATGAAGTTATAAGAGCTCTGAAAATTAGCCAAAGCCTCATGTAAATACAGGATGGTTGTTCAAATGTTATCTATTCAAACCATCACCAATCTTTGAGTAACCTTCTAAACACAATTACATATGTCCAGCCATGCAGACCTTAAAAACCTGGTATGAGGTCCACCTCTGCGTTTGAGGCATATTGTGCAAAATGGGATTAATTTAATTCCTTTAGTATCAACTAACTTTGAGTTTTCTGGTGAGAAAACAAGTGAGGTTTTGACCAATATTTCTGGGATAAAGAAGAAGGATAGACCTGGGAGTGGTCACAAGCATGGGGCTTTGGTTAAATGATTTGCTCAAGAACTCAGAGGATATCAGTGTTGGCATAGGTTCTTAGCACCCAGGATTTCTATCTCGGTACCCCATCCCTAAATTAAGGGCTACTTGCATTCCTTTGCTAAATGTGATGCTGTGAAAATTAATGTTACAGAATTGATGCTTATATCCTACAGTAATGCAAAATGTAAGGGTACGCAAGCAAGGTGCTCTTATGGGGAGTTGTTAAAACTTTCTAAGAGTGACATTATCATTTTCTTGATTATAGAAGACTTTTCACGTGTCTTCATCCTTCATATACAACTTGCCTCCCCAAAATTTTTCTCTGAGATGTTCACATACCCCAGTGAGAGGGGTAAGAGCATAACTTATGTATGAGCATGGATCGAGTAATTACAGACCGAAGTAGGGAGAAGAGGGAGAGAATGGAAAACAGTTATAGATAGATGGGAAGATGCCAATGTTTTTGTGAGTTGGTGAAAAGGAGGTGGAAAATCTGTTGTTTGAGACTGAAGAAGCAAATTAGAATGGCATGAACCTTAAGGAGAGGCTGAATAAATCAAGGAAGTTTTCTGGAGGATAAGACTGAAGGTAGATATTACCGAGTTTAAAGCACATAGCTCAGAGTTAGGATCCCTAAGGTCTAGTCAAGTTTTCATTACAACCTTCTCTGGTGCTTGTTGTCCTGACTAACTAAGGAGATTGTTGGAAGTTGTGACTCTGTAGGCAGGGAGCTCTGAAAAATACCTATGAACTGGCATGGGGTAAAACTTCCCTCAGGGAATGCAGTTTTTGTTTTTTTTTGTTTTTTTTTTTTTTTTTTTGTTTTGTTTTGTTTTGTTTTTTTTGTTTGTTTGTTTTTTGTTTTTTTGTTTTTGTTTTTGTTGTTTTGTTTGTTTGTTTGTTTTTTGGTTTGTTTGTTTGTTTGGTTGTTTTTGTTGTTTTGTTTTGTTTTGTTTTTTGTTTTTTTGTTTTGTTTTGTTTTGTTTTTTTCAGGGATGGCAATAACATTTCAGCCTAGCACAACGTGAGATATTTGTTGCTGTCACACATAGAAATGACTTTGACTTGTGGCTCAAAATGGTCGCTTTGCCTTGACTTTCAGTTGTATAGAAAAGAATGGAAAATTTCAGGGAAGATAGTAGGGTTTCACTTTGGAAGCAGTAGGTTATTTCAGATGACATAAGTTCCATTTAAGCCTCACTTTTTTTTTTTACCCAGGTGCATCTGATATATTGTTTTTCCTTAGAATAGGTGGGGTAATTTAGTGGTATTGGCCAGGTGGTATCTGTTCAGTTAGATTCCTTCAGCTTGTTTCCTCTTTTGTGATAAAGCCGGGTGGAGTACTGCTAAAAGTGAACAATCACAATATTGACATTTGTATGTGAAGCAATGGTCGTATTCCTATTAATTTGCATATCTTTAACATAATGGAGCATAACACAGGCAGAATGACAAAATTACTGTATCTGTTACTGCTTTTACTGTTAATTCCTCATCCCAAGCTCTCCCTGACTTGATAAAGGGCTTCCTGCAGGCGAAACCTCACTGGTAGAAACATCATTTCAGATGTACTTTCAAGTACATTGAAATCATGTTCCTAGGAATTTCAGAAGAATGATTTTTTTCTGAAATAAACCTGATATTCTTCTCTGGTTTAGATGAAAGAGTTGGCACTAGGGAGGAGATCAACCCTTGCTAGGTGTTTATTTGGGTCCCTTGCAAAGGCCATGGTTACCCCTTCTAGCTATTCTGACAAAAGTATGAGAGGAAAAGCATAGACTGCATACTAAAATGTCTCCTTGTTCATTATTTGTTTTTTTTAACTTGGTAAGAGTCTTTCAAAGATTTCAGTAGGTTTCAACAACTGGAGCTCCAGATTGTCCAATAGTTGTGCTTATATAGTGAACTCCCCAATGTCTAATACTGCAACTGGGAAGCCAAATGCTTCAGAGAAGACTGCACACTCCTTACTCCAAGTCCCACTGGAATTACACTCACAAAAAATGTGAACTTAGAAGTCAGGCCCAGAGATCTCCTCATACATGATCAAGTCCTGCCCCAGCTTCCTATGAGAGGCTGGCACTGTACATCACAACATCCTTTTTGTCAGAGACTCATAGAATAATTTAAGTTAGATGCAACTTCTAGAAATCATCTGGTCCAGCATTCATGAGTTTCCTTGGGAAGCTTTGTCTATGCCCCTCATTTAGAATCATAAGTTGGAAAAGGCCTCTAAGATCATTGAGTCTGAACACTAGACCACTGAGTCCAATAATTTCTGACATTCTGCATCTTCTGTTTCTCTGGTCCTACCCATCTCCTTGGCTCATAATGGCTAGATTTAGACTTCAGGTGTGATCTTGGTACGTAGTCTGTCTACATCAGATGATGATTCTTCGGCCTCAGTATTTAACTTACAGTAGCCACGAGTATGTATGTAGTGCCATACAGTTCTCATATGCCATATGGATCTTCCTTCTTCTCATATAGATCATGGCTTTGGACAGATACATGCCACAGGGGATGTGGGAAATGTTCTTAAAATCCATAGTAAGATATAACTCAGCCCTGACCTTTAGTACTTCCTTCTTTGCTGCAACCGAACTCTTATGAGAAAGCAGCTGAACCTGTGTCCCATCTGGAATTTCCAACAAATTCCCTAGCTCATTTCAGTTCCCCGACCTTGGCCAGCACCGAGCCATACTAGATATGGCTGACTATTTACACAAGTTGTTTAATGCCATTGTTGTATGGCATGAAGTTAAACAACTTTGATGAAATACGGCAATTATCCCTAGATGTACAGCACAGGGTATTGCACTTCTGAAATAAATAAAACTTACCTGAATAAATCACATTTCTGTTCAGAAAGCAAAGGGTAATAAGCTTAGGTATCTCTTTGATGTTAGTAAGAAACAAACAGTGAAAAAGTTTCTTATTCATTCTCTTTTTTAAACATCCTTGATCAATTGCAAAAGCAAAATACAACATTTTTGAAGATTTCTACATCTTTCCTGTTTTCTCACCTCCAGTAACAGTCAAGTGAATCTTCAAGTGTGTATACTGTTCTCATTAGGTAACATTTAACATTGTCTTAAGTATTTTAATCCAACCTTGCTTTCTAGCAGGGGTGAGAAGAGTCATTATGTTCCCTTGGTACAGCTAAGTCTCTCTCTGTCTAGGTGACAAAGCAAAGTTAAAGGCAAGGCCTGGTGGTTCTGCTTACATTGCTTTCAAGGTAAAAAACTGACTGTATGCTCAGGTGTAGCAATTTGGGTTGAGGCTGCACTGGAAGGCAGTAATACAATCCTAGGAACCTACCGTGTCCTGCATACAGATTTGTCAGACCTCATGCTTGGAGCAGTGCGCTTAGCCAAGACACGGAGTGAAACTGGGCTTCAACATATTGATCCTGAAACAGACTTCATATAAAAAGGTCCTGTCTCTGCCGTGCTTCTCTGTTCCCAGAGAAGAGTCTCATGTAGTTAAAATGCAATTCTATGGTCTGTGTTATGAACAAGCACTGACTGAGTTTTCAGTGATGTTATCTGTCTCACTTTGGATCCAGTGGCACAAAGTGACTGCTGTGGGCCCTCAAGAAAGGACTTTCAGCTCACAAAAACTCACTCTTACAGCTCACACCAGCATTTCTCCCCCTTCACAATGTGGCACCTGTGTTCCTTTGGCACACAAGCCCCACTGCATTTGCACCAGCATCAGCTTGTCCTTGTCCACCCCTACAAACTACCAAGCTCTTGCTTGTATCAGGACCAGTTGTCCAGTTCCAGTCTGTAAAGGCAGCTTTAGGAAACCTCTGAGCACTCTAGTTCTCCAACAGTACCAGTGGTGAAACAGCCAAGCAACACTTGCCCTGGCCTTCAACAATCTTGTCTATCTTTGAAACAGCTCTTTCTTTGGGCAGGAGGCCATACCTCAGATGACCTTGAGAGGTTCCATCCAACCTCAATTACCCTATGGTTCTGTGAAAAATCAGCAGCACGCTATCCCTTTTCCCCATACATAGGTTTCCATGGAAAGCTGCAGCTACTGGCAAAAAGGCAGCAGTCAGATACTGAGCCCCAATGCCTGGGGCTTCCCCAGCTGTGAGATGTGTGGTGAGCTGACTGTCCCATGGTCAAGAGACAAGTCTGTACAGAGTAAGTGAAGTTATCCTGTGTCAGAGACAAACAAAAAATCTTGTGCAAAGCATAGCAGTGTTAGGGAGCTCTAGTCCAGCCGGTGACTAATGTTACACTAATGAGTACTTTCCTTCCCCACTTAGGTCTTGTTTGCTTTCCAGTCCAGGTCAGTATCCAGTTTAGACATAAAAGGAGATAAAACTATGCAAATAGACAATGGTTAATTGGACTGCCAGGTTTTTGGAAAAAGACTCTCTCCCTTACTAATGGGTGGTTCATTCAGTGTCCTGGGAAATGGGGTGCTGAGCCATGAAATGGGGTGCTGAGCCCATATTACAGAAAATAAAGTGTAGCATTTAGCTTTGTTGAAAGCAGTTGAGTGAGAGGTGAGTGAAAATTTTCTGTCAAAACTACAGGTCATTTTTCATTTGAGTGGATGTGTTTGTATACATAACACATATCCTCTTCATGGAAGATGTAGATTAAAAAAGAAGAAGATATATTAAATCCAGAAAATATTGGGCATTGGTCTTTGTTTAAGGAAAAAAAAGAGACTATCTCTCTTGTTGACTATTTCAGTGGGGGTAAATGTTCACTCAAGGCCTAAGTCAGCTAAACTGAGAAAACCGAAGTCAAAAAGGCTAATGCAGTTGCTGCTTTGCTCAGATTAAAGTCATGAAAGTTTTCTACTAGCTGCTTTTATTTAATTCATGAAAGAACCTAGTGTCCATGATGATAAGCAGAAATGATTAAACATATATACTTTCTCTTTTCTTATTTCAGCAACTGAGTTCTAAAACTACTTAGCCACCATCACCCTTACAGACCATTTCTCCTACTTGGGATGAGTGGTCAGATTTATCAGAAAAGGGTGCTGGTATGAGATTTGGCTGTAATTCCAGAAAACAGCCAACTCTTGATATAAGTGAAACTCCAAAAATTCCATTAAGTTTTAGCAGTTTTAGCCTAGTTTCCTGAATTTGAATACCCGTCCTTACTTATGACAGGCATTTATTTGTCTATCTTTTTTTAATAAAATGAGTACTGTTTTTTAAAGGGAAAGACACGAGGCTGTTGTATTTGTTTACAACAGGCACTTCTCACTGTTATTGAAGACAGCTATCTGCAATAGCTGTTCAGGTTGCATATTCACCTCTCCAGTGACAGTGGGGCTTTACAATGCACAAAACCACAGAGCCCAGTCTACTGTGAGGTTGAAAGCAAATTATTTTTTAAAGATTATTTCTGTATATATAATGAATGATTTGTACCTGATTAAGGAAATACCAGATTCCTACAAAAGCTAAGGAATAAAAATTCTACATAATCAAACATGACAGCTCTAGAGGTTAGTAAGAAAGAAGAATTTTCATTAAGTGTTATAACTGGTACTTACCAACAGCTAGTGGTGACCCTGCTTTTACGGATGGAGATCTCTCAATGTAGTTCCTTCTCTTCCTGGTTTCACTGCTTAGGACAGTGCTGGCAGAAGGTTTCTTTAAGATTTCCTCAATGGAAAAGGACAGGCTGGGCTTCCCCTGTCCAGCACACCCCCGGGGGTCCATCATATTCCTGGCAAAGTGGCTGTGGGGCAGAGAGTTCTCTCCTGCCCTCCTGGCTCTTGGAGCACCCTGAGGAACATGCAGCTGGGATGGTGCGTGTCTCTCCCCACCCATGCCCGGGTGACCTGCTGGAGCACTGGGAGGAGAGACGAAGGCAACCCACAAGTAAGCACACACACCTGCTCCCCTCTTCTAATCAGGCCGGAACCAAGACCTGCACTCCTGTGTCTGGGGATGACAGCATTAGAAGTGGGGGTTAAAAGGCTTACCATCCCCACCCACTGCCAAGCATTTCCCCTGCCACTCAGATTTACGGAGCTCTGAACAATCACATGGCCATTCCAGGAGGAGGTGTGCTCCTTGCAGATCCAGGTGAAAAATGCCCTGGGAAGGGTTGCTTCTTGCTGGTAAATCCTGTCGGTGGGGCAGTTATCTTCCTTTTATGCTTTCAGGCTGAAACCTGCAAAAAAGCCCACTAGATTTGTACCGTGATAAAGTTAAGAAATAATTGGCATGACAAATATTTATCCCTTGTGTCACTTACTAGCAAGAGAGACAACCTGTAAACTTCTCTTGCATACAACTAGGTGTCACATATGAAAATCTCCCTCACAGCAATTGCCAGGTTATTCTTCAGCCATCCCTCCCAACCATCAGCTTTGGTTCAGATTCTCTTTTCTTCTACTTTGGAAACCCTTTGAACTTTCCAAGCAGGTGCTTTTCAACGTCATCCAATCTTATCAGTCAAAAAGAAAAAAAGGCCCTTGCAACATGTGTAGGAATCAGAATTAGGGCCCTCTACCTCCCACCTATGCAGATAAAACATTATTTCATTTCTATCCTGAGCTGTGAGGCAAGCCAGCTTGATAATCATCCCACCAGTTGCTTATGCCTCCCAATTAGGCATCCACTGCAGGGGGAGAAGATTTTCTCGTTAATGCTGGTGAATACCAGTGATTCCTCTCCCGAGCCACTTCTATCTTCTTGTTAATTTTTATTTTGAGAAGAATGTGTGGTTAGATACACTCCTGTTCTTTCCCACTCCCTCCCCCCAGTGGCTTTTTTGCCTTCTTTGGGGATTGCCCCTCACCTTTTAAATTGTTAAAGTTGCCTATCTCTCTCCTGTTGGTTCTCCTCTGCACCTTCCTTATCGGGCTCTTATAATTGTATTGGCAGGCCCTGCCTTATTTGTCCAGTGAACTGACAATTCTTGAGCTGATATCCCATCATATGACCTTTTCATGGAGTGGAAACCAAAATTACTGTGTAACCAGGGGGCAATAAACCACACCTGATAAGATGAAAGGCTTTCGGCTTTTTCCAGATTCTAGATACTGGAAAAACAGTGGGGGTGGTGGGGAAAAGAACAATAGAAGAGGTTAAAAATGGTGCAGTCAGTCGTGATGAAGAATATTTAATTATCTGATTTCATTAATCAAGCTTCTCCCCAGGCAACAGGGTAGAAAAGCGAGCATCTTTCAGAATGATGACATTCATGGGGTAGAGTGGGAAGTGTTTTTCTTTGTTCCTTTTGCATCCCTCTGCCGTTTTTATAAAGGAGGATCTTGTGCCTTCATGGTTGTGTGATGAGGTGGCAGCTGTTTGTGTGGGTGCAAAAGGTCTTGTGGCCCTCTCCATTAAGCAGGGAACACCTTGTTTCAACCAATGCCTCTTTGGCCAAGCTTTGTCCTCTCCAACTTTGCTGCTGGTGTCTGTAATCCTGGCTGGGCACACGAAAAAGGATGTCTTCTCCTTCTTTGCTTAGGCAGAATGAGAGAGTGGGTAACTTATGGGATGAGAATTAGGTAAGTGTGCTATATGTATACAGAGGGAAGGGAAAGAAAGGTGCTCTGAATCTACACCCTGGATTAAAACTGCCTATTTAATAATAAGTTTCCCCTTTTTTCCTTGTGATTCCTGATTCAAAGCCCATTAGAAAGCACAAGGAGAAACCTGGTGTATTCTTTTGCAAATGCCTTACTTTCCCTACTGTGTTTGCCTGAGGCACTAAAAAGGGAGCCACTCTTCTTGGTTTTACTGGCCTCCTACAGAGCAAGGGCTTCAAATCTTACTCACTTCTCAGATGTCTCGAGAGTCCTTGACCCAGCCTTCAGTGTACTAATTTAGTATACATGACAATGCCTGAACTCCCTGATGTTTACTGTGCTACCTATTACCTGGAAGTTTCAGGCACAGGAAAACTAGCTCTAGGGACCTCTGTTTCTTAAGTCTCTGTGCTGTCAACTTTTCCAAAGGTGCAAGAGTGAAACTCGTGGATTTGTCTGCTTCAGTTGTCAAATGAAGCAAGGCCACATTTTCCTTTGCAGTGGAAAGCTTTGGCTTTGGTTTGTTATTAAAACTTATGTGTTCAAGGGGCTAATTTCCTCCTGCAGGGGGAGGGGGAGGAGGATTTGACAGGAAAGTCCGATAGGTCCCAATACTCCTAATGAGACGACTCATATCTTTGGGTAAATTAGCTGGGTAAATTAGCAAAGAGAGTCCCAGGGCAAAAAATACACCTTCTATCTCTTGTCCTTGCCCCAGCTCCACTTTTGCTGCGTTAAACAGACACTGTTTTCAAAGGAAGAAACTTAGCCTTCTGGCAGAAATACATGTGCTTTCTTGTTGAAAAATTTCTGAAGTAAAGAGAGTTGAGACAGACAGACCCCAAGTTTTCATCTCAGTAATGAAATGATCACACTGGCAACACATAGCTAGCATATCCCCATGTTCAGAGTGTGTGTGCTGCCTGTCTCCACTGCCACCAACTTGCTCTGGGCAGGCACCTGCTGAGACAATCCTGTAGTCCCATGTCACAAAATCAAATTGTGCATGTTTGTATAACTATTCTGTCTCAGTCTGCAACTTTAAACCTCCCTGCTGCTCGCAGCGACAAGTTGATTTTCTCTGCATGTTTAAATTAGATGCTCACATGCAAATTTACAACTTGAAAGCATCTTTGTGAAGGCTTTATTTTTGTTCTGTCTTATTATATTGTTCTTTTTTATTAAAACTGAAGGCAATGCCAACTGAGAAATATATTTTTCTTCTTCTACATGGGAAAACAAAACAAGCACTAAAGTAGGAAACAGGATAAACTCTTGAAAGGGGATTTGAAAGCAGCAGTGTAAGGTTGCAGAAATCCCATGTTTTGTGTATAGAAGTTTCTCCAGAAAAAAATGTAGTTTTGATATCAAAATGTTTAAGTAGTACCAAAAGACTTGAACGTTTTAGTATTTTTAATATAAAAATAGAAAACTGGTGATAAATACTATTTCATTAACTAAAAAAAAAAATTAAATACTGTCTTTAGAATGACTGCTAGTCTGGAATTTCTTTGCTTTGTATTATGTTAAAATAAAGACGAGTGGCAAAAAATAGACGCTTGAAATGCAAATGAACATTTTGCAAATTAAAATAGTTCACCTGACCCCCTTTTTCAAATGATTGAGTTGGTGAAATGTAACAAACTATTTATGTTCAAAACAAGAAATTATTTACTTTTAAATTACCAGAAAATGAAGAAGTTATTTTTCTGCCAAGTTCTAATATGATGACTTTTGCATGGTAGTTTGGGGATGTTTTTATATTTCTGCTTGACCTGGAAATGCAGATGACTCTCATTTGTTACAATTATTTGCTACCCGTCTAATTTAGTCTATAAATTACATGAGGCAGGAAACATATCTTCCTCTGGGATTGCTGAGCTCTGAAGGCAACTCTGTACAGCAGAAGGGAGCTGTCTAGAACAAAATCATGCCGTGTTGATTGTCTCAGCTCATCCTCTCTTTGCCAAGCAGACCTAGAGGTCCACAAAACCTCTGAGATTTTTAAAATATCGAGTACTTTCAGAAAGTGAAAAACCCTGGATGTATAGACTTGAAATCAACTTGATATCAATACTTTGGAGGTTTTTGTCCAATAGCACCTATCTCAAATTAGAAGAAGAACTGTGTTTACGCTGTCAGTCATGGAGCAGGACTGTTCCTGCCCCACTGGTCTCTTTCACTAGATAAAGACAATAACAGGATGATATTCCACCTGGTGCCTCTGAAACATCTCCTTTAATCTCCCATTCTCAAATGTGACTCAGAGTCAGAGATGTCCAGTGTTTATGCACAGCATGGATGCTGCAGCTCACACCACCTCAACTCTGAGGGCTTGTGCTCAGTCAGCTGTTCAGAGCAAGTCAATGAGCTCGGGCAGTCAGAGACACTGGCAGTTGCTTGTGATGGTGCAGCTGCAAATTGCCCACAGCACCTCTGGATCCTCATGTCCCTGTAGGTTGTCTTCCATCCTTTATGCCTTACTGGACTCCAACAATCTCCCCAGTGACATCTGAACTGCTCTGGTTGTCTCGAAGTTCAACAGCTGGGAGTGATCTAGCATAAAGCCCATGCAGCCTGCTCCTGGAGTCCTTTTCACCTCAGATTTATTAGCCCTGTTTTCTCTGCAGATTTCTCAACAAGCTCATAAATTAGAAATATTAATAAAAGGGATACTTTAGGTTTCAACTGATAACATTTATTATGATTTTTTTATGGCACAGTTATTATCAATTGACATTTAAAATGGCATCATAATCCATCAAAGTGAAATGGACTCAGAAAAATATTTCTCCCAAGCCAAAAATAATAGCAACAGCAGCAGGATTGCAGGAGAGGAAGGACACAAACATTTTGAGCCCAGGTCATTGATTTCATACTTTGGAGGAGTTTTTTAGCAACTCCATCCTCTTTTTAATCCATTCTTACATTTTGCAATGCTTCTTCTACCCTGCTGGGCCCCTCATGCCCTTTGTAGAAGTTTTGCTATAAAAAATCTTTAGTTAATCCATGATGGGGAGCATTTTGCTTCGAACAGAGCAGGAGCAGTTATATGTGGGAAGGGCTGGAGACATCAAAGGTTGTCCTTTTCATAACAATTCAGACCTCTCTGAGCAGCAATTGCCATGGAGAATTGTCCAGCATGGCTATAAACTAGCTTTATTCTCATACTGTTTGGCT